CTCCTCCTCCCCTCGCCCTCCCCCTCCCCCATCCCCATCCCCCTCCTCCTCTTTCTCCTCTAATCTCCAGACGCCGTCCAATCATAACCGCACGCAAAGTCGCAGTGACCAAACCTGGCGACGAGAAACGGGAGGGGAGGGCGGAAGAGGGAGGGGAATGAGGGAGAAAGGGAGAGGGGAGGGGAGGAAGGACGGAGACAAGAGGATATGATTGACGAAATAGCAGGACCTGAGCAGCTGGCACGAGCGTCCGGCTCGGACCTGGCTAGGTGTCATCTCTCTGCCACAATGCAGTCAGCACTGGGGGGTCCTCGGATATCCGTGATCTCTGAGTACTGAGCAGTCTCGGTACTCCTCAAAATGCCTAAGCACCCCCTACCCCCAATAATGCCCCCAGACGTCACGAGAGAGCCTGAAAGGGGGCCCACGGACGACCACCAGCAACATGATCATCACATGCCGGCACGCGCGCGCATGTCTTTTTCTTCGCGCGCAGGTGCACACCGCAGTTCGCAAAGGAGCGAACGCACAGAAGAGGCCTCCACGAGAGGACATCATTCTCAGTTATTTGCCAGAGGATCAGAACATCCTGCCATGATGACTGGTACCTGTTTAGCTCTACTATCGTCACTTGTTATACTATCTCGGTGGCGTGGATCCTCATGGATTCGGCCATTATGTAAGGTATATGGGTTAAGCGAGGGCGAGCGAGTAAATGAGGTCATGCGTGCGCGCGAAGGGGATCGCGCGCGCCACCTTCCCCCTCGCAGCCCAATACAGCTGCGGTGACCGGTGTGAACGTTTAGCGGCAGCGACGGTGGCAGCGGGCGACGGCAGGGGCGGAACCATATCAACTCCTCCCGCGGCAGGATGCGTAGGCCTAGCCACAGCTCCTTTTGGAGTTGCCAGACTTCATGCAATCCCCAGGCACGTTGGCCCCCCTGGCGCCAAACCCCAAAAACACTTTCACGGCGCACGGGGCGAGACAGCATCGACCCCTGGCAAAGTCTTGAGGCGGGCCGACGCAGACGGATGCATCCTACAAATGCTACAGCGCGCCAGCACATCAACATATTTGTGGTGAGAAACTTTGTCTTGATCTCCAAGACCACGTAGTCCTTCGTCAAAAACGCGTTCTAATCCAAAAAAACCCACGGCTAAACCGCACGTTCCGCAAGTAGTCAGCAGTCGACAAGAATGCGTACCTACCATCCAATTCCTGCCCAGCAGTGCTGATCGGCATCCAAGTGCCAGTCGTCGCTGTCACGCTCCCTCTGGACGTCGCGACCTCTCTGATCCATCACCGAAGGTGCCGCGGAAGCCACGGCAACTGACGGTCCGCCCACGGGGATCCCAACGCCACCGACCCGAACGTCTGTGCGCCCAGCCCTGGGCGGCGGCGAACCCCCGGCGCCCCTGGGGCAGGCCTCTTCAGGGGCGACGGTGGAGACGATCGGCGATCAGGCGGCGCTGAAGGGGATCATGAACGCCCCATCGGAGACGGCTTCCAATTGGCACGGCAGCCGCACGGGGGGCATGATCCACCTGGAGTCATTGGCTGCCCCAAGCATCGGCATGCTCAATGAACTAGCCCTGGCTCCCGGGACAACGCTGCAGGCCCAGCCGGCATCGGCCTCGGCGCCAGCCGTGCTCATTTCATCGGTCCTACCCGCAGTTGATTCGCCGGCATCATCGACATCCACGCGATCTACATTGTCGGCTGAACCGAACATGTGCCTCCCATTTTCTTTGCATGCACGGGCGACGCCAAAAGCGATCGCGACAGTTTGTACATCGCATCTAGCCGCCACATGATCTCGCAACTCTGCATTGTCGCCCGAGGCTTCCTCCATCTTGTTGAACTGGCTGCCGAGCTCTGCGATGCATGAATGTATTCTGGACCAGAAGACGCGCACCTGGGACCTGAGGTTTTACCCCAGATCCTCGATATCCACCTCGACGAAGTCTGAGCCCCCCACAGCCGTTCAGACCTCCGCGTCAAGCGCGAAATCCTTCTCTGGTAAGGGCAGTGTTCAGCTCCGAACGGGATCGCTGCAACTACGCACCATTGGGGAGCCAACATGCCAGCCCTCCGAAACGCACTCCGCAACTGACGCCCTAACTATCCCAAGGGCCCTACACGGTGAATGCATAGCTGGGTAAGCCCGATAAGCGGAGTTACTCCCAGCAGAAGTGTAGTGTGTGTGTGTGTGTGCGTGTGCGCGCGTGGCCCGCCCGCCCCGCCCGCCAGGCCGGCACGCGCCCTTGCTCGAGCAACTGGACACAGTTGCGGAGGCAGTCCCTCCGCATGATCCATGCCCTACCAGCACTCTGCCAACGGAACGAGTGGAGGGCAGCAGAATTGTGCGAGGGGAGTGTTAGTAATGGCTCTACCGGCCGATCGCATGTCCAAGATGTCTGGACGTGTATGTTGCAATATCAACTATGTAGTTCGATCGGTCCCACTGTCGATCAGTATCGATATGTTTATATATATATATATATGCCAACAAAATATATGAATATATGTACGTGTATAATTCGATAACACTACAAACCCTGCATCGACCCCCTTACTCCAAAACGAATATAAGTATATAAATAATTGTGTATACATATATAAACATACATGCATACATACATACATACATACATACATACATGCATGCATGCATGCATGCATGCATACATACATACATGCATGCATGCATACATGCATGCATGCATACATACATACATACATACATACATACATACATACATAGATGCATCCATGCATCCATGCATCCATGCATCCATGCATGCATGCATCCATGCATACATACATACATGCATACATACATACGTACATACATGCATGCATGCATGCATGCATGCATGCATACATACATACATGCATGCATGCATGCATATATCAGTGCGTGGTTGGCTATAGCTTCATCTGCATACGGCGCACCAACGGGACAACCACAGGACAACAGAGGGATAACCACGGAACAACCACGGGACAACCACGAGACAAGCACGGGAGCCCAAGACAACCCCCAGATGGCCCCAATAAACTCCTACTCAACATCATCAGCATCATGATATTCCATTTCGCATCCGTCCACTACGAAGCTCCATTGCATTGTCCATGCGTTCCTTCTCCGCCTCTTCCTCCTCTACTCTCCCCCCTACTCGTCATCGTTTGCTTCCTTCCCCTACATCCAAGGGCGACCTCAGATGATCCAAGATACATCATAGACGGCCGAGGAGAGACATGTGACGGAGTTTTGACCGTTACTCCAATCGCCACTCGATGGGACGGGAGAAGAAGGAGGGAGGGCGAGGTGGAGCGGAGTGAAGAAAGCTAAGAAGGGACAGAAACAGAGGTGGAAACGCAAGCCCCAAAAACTCCTCCGAAGAAACGAGGGAGCCACGACTAAACACGGAAAATGCGGCAATCCTTTTAGCCGCTTTGGGTGTCACCGCTTAGGGATACTCCCGTCCGAGGGTGACGTAGTCGGCGCTGCAGTTTTAAGTGGAGGGAGGAAGGAGTAGAGAGGGAGGACCGTTGGAGGTCAGAGGAAAAGGGCCGCAGCAGCAAGGATGCAAGAAGGGAGAAGGGAGCATGGAAAAATACTCTCCGGCCTGGTGAACGTTTTCTTTTTCGGCGTTTCGACACTGGGCGGAAGAGGGGGGGAGAGAGGGGGGGTCTGGCTCCAGACCTCGGCTTGGTGCGGCTGTTTGCAAAGGTGCTGCCTCTGGGGGAGACTCCACCCGCTCGAAACAAGCGCCAAAGAACGGCCAAGATCTATTCCAGGGGGGGGGAGGGGGGGAGGGATTTTCGGGCCGGGCGAAAGGGGGAGATAGCAAAGGGGGGTTTGAGAAAGGCGGCGGCGGAGGAAGAGGGGGAGGAGGAGGAGGAGGAGGAGGAGGAGGAGGAGGAGGAGGAGGAGGAAGAGGAGGAGGAGAAGGAGGGGGAGGAGGAGGAGCAGGAGGAGGAGGAGGAGGAGGGGCAGGCGCACGCGGCGCCCGCAGGCGCGATCGCGAGAGCGCGCGAGCGCCCCCGCGAGCTGACCCTGACACTACACGGCGGCTTGGCGGGCTCCTGCCCGAGTGAGAGGGCTTGCCGCCCAGCCGGGCGGGTACTGACGCGAGAGCTAAGCATGCGGGGCAGTCGATGGCGGCCAGGCAGGCCGAGCGGACCCCACTGCTGGGCGTGTTGTCAGACGAAGCCAGGACGAGGATAAAATCGGGTGAGGATGAATCAAGCATCTCGGAGATCCGGCGGCCCTACCGAGGTCTCGGGCGCCGCGGCCTTCTCTAAGCGTTCCAGAACCCTCTGAGGGCGCTCCGAACTGCTCTGGAACGGACTCGCCCTCGTCCTCGCCCCACCCGACCTTGGCCGGGCGGGCCTCTCGGCTTTTCGGCCGGCGGGCAGCGAGCTTTGAGGGGCGGGCGTCCCACGAGCGGCAGACACCCGCGTCCGCGCCCTCGCGGTCCAGACCCCGAGGCGCGACCCCGCGGATGCGCGGTCGCACGGCCGCGCCCCGCGCGGGGCGCTCGGGCAGAGGCGCCCGCCTGGCCGCGGGGCCGGGGCCCGGGGGGCCGCACCCCGCGAGGCCGCGGACACGGGTGTGCTCGTTCGCCCGCGAGGGTCGCACGGGCGGGGCCGAACGGACAGGTCGAGCGGGCGGGCCCCGACAGGCGGATCGGGCAGGGGGGGCAGCAGAGCGGGCGCGGCCTTCGCGGGGGGCGTCACTGGCGAATTCCCAGGGGCGGGTCGGGCGAGCGGCGTGCGGCCCCGGACTTGACGGGCGAAAAAACGGTATGAAATGAAGTGTTTCGCTGTCGGGGGCGCCTGTCCCTGGGCGGCTGGAAAATTTATACCCTTACGGTGGCACCGTAGGGGTATAAACTTTCCAGCCGCCCAGGGACAGGCGCCCCCGACAGCGAAAAACTTTATTTCATACCGTTCTTCGCTCGCTGACTGACGCACGGGCAGCCACGACGAGCAGCCATGACAAGAGAATGTGAGATGATTCTGGTGGGCGCCCGGAAAATGTGCCTACAGCCTGCATCGTCAAAGCATGCTGCATTGATCTCCAGTGCTGACAGCTTTCTCGGCCTAAAAAGTCTGGCGATCCCACATCGGGTTCTCCTGCCGGAGCCAGGGTCCAATCCGCCAACGTGCGCCTCGGCAAGGAATGGGTGCTTCAACACACATGCAGATAAGAGTGTGATATGGATTCGGATGCCCCTGGCCCAAGGTGCCCCCAGCTTTTCGCACCGTTTGGGAGCCCCTGGGATCTGGAAGCCGTGGGGGCCTCCTTGGCAATCCTGGGGGCACCTTGGGCCAGGGGCAGTTCTACCAACACCCGATGGATTGTTGGAGACTCGAAGGCCCGGACATCGAATATGTCGGCATTCCGGGGCGCTTCAGGCGCTTGTCGCGTGGGCTTCCGGGAAGACAGACCCACCCGAACTGGACTCCAGTGTCTCCCCAAAGCCTTCCGAGAATGGCTCGGCCTGGCGTCAGCGTAGACCCGGACTTCCCCGACGTCGTGATTGTTCACGTGGACCTCCTGAGGACTGGACCCGTTCCCAGGGATAGTCTTCTTAGGGCGAAAACAGCCCGTCGCGACATTCTCGCGACGAGACGAAATGTCGGAATTTAGACGTCAATCTCGCTGGGCAGAACTGCCACCCGGTCCCGCCATTCCCCCGAGGCCTCGCCCGCGAATGGCCGCTGGCGGTGCGGGAGAAAACGCGGCCTACAGCACTGGGGACGAAATCTGGCGCGCGAAGGGTGACTCCGAAGGGTCCTCCTCCACCTCCTCCTCCTCCTCCTCCTCCTCCTCCTCCTCCTCCTCCTCCTCCTCCTCCTCCTCCCTGCTTGGCCACCTCTCCTTCCTCTTCTCTTGTCTTCTTTCTTCCCTCCTCACTCCTCCTCTTCCTTCCTCCTCCTCCTCCTACGCTCCTCCTCCTCCTCCTCCTCCTGCTCCAACCTCCTCCTTCTCTTCTTCCTCCTCCTCCTCCTCCTCCTCCTCCTCCTCCTCCTCCTCCTCCTCCTCCTCCTCCTCCTGTTTCCTCCTCCTCCTCCTCCCCCTCTTCCTCCGCCGCCGCCTCTTCCGCCTCCGCCTCCGCCTCAACCGCCTCCTCCGCATCCTGCGCCTCCTCCACCTCCTCCGCCTGCTCGCCTTCTCCGCCTCGTCCTCCTCCTCCTCCTCCTCCTCCTCCTCCTCCTCCTCCTCCTCCTCCTCCTCATCATCATCATCATCATCATCATCATCATCATCATCATCATCATCATCATCATCATCCTCATCTCATCCTCATCCTCATCCTCCTCCTCCTCCTCCTCCTCCTCCTCCTCCTCCTCCTCCTCCTCCTCCTCCTCTTCCTCCTCCTCCTTTTCCTTTTCCTCCTCCTTTCCCTCCTCTTCGTCCTCCTCCTCCTTTTCCTCCTCCTCCTCCTCCTTCTCCTCCTCCTCCTCCTCCTCCTCCGCCTCCTCCTCCTGTGCCTCCTCTTCCTCCTCCCCTCCTCCTCCTCCTCCTCCTCCTCCTCCTCCTCCTCCTCCTCCTCCTCCTCCTCCTCATCATCATCATCATCATCATCATCATCATCATCATCATCATCATCATCATCATCATCCTTCTCTGTTCCATACTATGCTTCTTACATTGGCATGTTGCTTTTTGCGAAACATAAGAGTACCATTGTTAGTATCACCATACGTGGTTTCCGTATTAGCAAGGCCATTTCTATAAGTGCTGCTGTTAATAGTACCATTATCTGGGTGATCAACATGGTTGGAAATTAAACTAATAGTAATATGGTGAATGGTACTGCTAATAATGGGCTTAATATTCTATGATGGGTAACCGTAGCACCCGTAATCGGATTAACAATATTAATACAAATCGTACTCGCAGTTGGTTCTTATTCGTAGTAGTCATGCTATTATGGGTGTGTGCTACTGTGAGTAATGTTGATATATAGATATATACACATATATATGTATGTACTGGCATTTACTAGTGATACTACACTTACGACAATTCTTCTTACCACCAGTTTGATTAGTACGTGTCGCAGTCTGTTTCGCCATATTCCAGGTAAAAATTTAACCGTATCATGATTGCGAAAATGGTATTAGTATCAGTATGCATTACGATTAGTAATACGCCTTTTCGGAGGATCCGCCTTCTCGGACTTAAAGTTAACATTCGTACTTCTCTGCAACGTACTATCAAGTTTCTTCTTGGAAATCGTATTCATTGTTCGCTTACGATGACAACTGTTCGTATTCCTTCCACTCATATTCATATTAGGCTGTTGCGTATTAGTAGTATTACTATAATTCGTTGTTTGTTCGTCGTATTCTTCTTACTCGGAATATTAATGTTGTACGTAATATGGGTATGTTCTCCTTTTTTATAGTACCAGTATTGTTACGCAGCTTCGTACGAATCGAACCAACATTCGTCTCAAGTGTACCCTTATTATGTGTAGTATGTTTCTTCGCTGTTGTATTATTACTATCATTGGTATTGCCATTATTGGTAGTACTACTATACGTGCTCCTAGTCTTCTCAATCTTCATAATATTGTTCCTATGATGCATCCTTCTATTAAAGCTGATGTTCTTAATGATCGCGCTACTATTACGATTGCCATTCGTGCGACGTTTATTAACAGTTGCGTGCCGAATAATATTCATATGGTTCGTGATGTGTTGATGCGTCGCTGTTTGCACTTAAGTATGTATACCGATATTATGATTATTCCTCCTCCTTCCTCTCCTCCTGCTCCTCCCCCTCCTCCTCCCCCTCTTCCTCCTGCTCCTCCTCCTCCTCGTCCTCGACCTCCTCCTCCTCCTCCTCCTCTTCCTCCTCCTCCTCCTCCTCCTTCCTCTTCCTTGCAGCGCGCTTAAATGCCGTTGTCTTCTGATGATCCTGGCCTTTCCTTCCGGGCCGTCTAGATGCCGCACGGGCGCCCCCCACAGAGACAGAAATCACACCGAGTTCGCAGCCCATGTCTCAAAAGTTTTCGGGTTCCTCGAGACGCCCCGCGATACGGCGTTTCGATATCAATTGCTTTCTCCAGCCAAGACTCGCCGGCGTCAGCACGCCGGCCTTGAGCCAAAATGGCAGCGGCACGTGCGCTATACAGTGCGAGCCGCTGCGCGTGCAAAACATGTAAGCATGCCACGACTGCGACCACTCACGACCCCTAGGCGTTGTGTTCTAGCCGCCCGCGTCAGAAGTCGGGGGAGACACAGACTCGCTTTTCAAAGGGTGGGCGCCAATCCTAGCAAGGAAAAATTGGCGAGCTGGCTTCCTGGCCTCGGCCGCTGCTCTTCCCGCAGCGGGGCGCGCCAAGGCTCGCGCGACGCGCGGGTCGTCTCGCAACCCTGTCTTCGAAAAGGGCTTCCGGCGCAAAGCTCGCGGCGCAGCGAAGCAAAGGACAGCGCGCGCCGCGAGGCGAAAAACTAACAGAGCACAGAGCACGACAGACTGAAGCAAACGGCCTTCCGCTCTCGCCCCCCACCCGGCGCCGCAGGCTGTAGGCGCCGCGGCCCGGCGCCGAGCCAACAGTCCTGGGCCACCAACCTGCGAACTGCAGCAGCCTGAAGTCTACAGCACCGGGCCAACCATCTGAACTACTGCAGCAGATGCAAACAAGCGGCCCTCACGCGGGCAGCCCGACCCCGCCCCGCGCACCAGCCCCCCCAGCGGGTCGGAACTCGCGGAGCGACAAGCGCGCGCTCTCCGAGCACGCAGAACGCCCAGCATAATGCCACGCAGCGCGCGCCCTCACTCCCCCTGGTGGCCCTGTAGCTCGCGCAGCAGCATTGCTCACGAGGCGAGTGGCCATCTCTGGGAGGCCCCGAAGCTCTCCTGATTGACTGCTTTTGCTCGGCGTCGCTCGCCATCTCCCGCCCCCCCGACTCCGCGCGCGCCCTTCGCATTGCCGGCCAGCTCGCTGGCCTCAGATCGGCTGCAAACGCCCGCGCATCGGCGAACCCCGCGAACGTCGCCGCATCGCGCAACGACGCTTTCAGCCGCTCTATACATCGCAGCCCTTCTCCGGAAAGCTCAAGAGGCACCGAATTATTCGTCGCCCCTGCTGGCCGCGGCCCAGCTCCCCGACCAAGCCAGCAGCGCCGCGGCTGCGCGCGTGAATTTGCCGCGCTGCCACCCATGGAAAATCGTCTTCTCTCCTCGGCCCGCCCTGGCGAAGCGCCTCCACTTCTCCGCGGCGCACTTCCCTCTGACCGCGTCGACGCCGACAACGTCGAGCGAGTTCTGCCGACCTGCGAGCCAGCGCAGCTCGGAAAGCTGCCGACAATTGCCCCAGATAGTCGCCCGACCATTGACCTCGCCCCCCCGAGCGAGATCGCGGCCTCCACGCCCCCGGGGACGGCCGACCCCATCGATCTGAACAGCCCAGGGTAGTCGAGGCCGCGAGCGTCCACTAGGATCTCGTCGCCCGCGCGAACCTGGCCGATCGCTCGCCTGGCGACGTTTTGCACGCGCCTTGCAACGCAAATGCCCGTCAGCTCGCCGCCCCCCCGGGAGGAACCGGGCTCGGCCTCTGCGGACATCGGCCGCGAAGCCGCCCATGCGGGCGCAGTTGTCGGGCGACGCAACCACGCATGCACTGCTGGCCTTCGACCCTACCAAATGATTCGGGATCGTAGCGGCACTAGCGAGCGCCTCCGCCTCACAGCCCATTGCCGGCTTCAGAGCGCGGCCCTTGACATCCGCGCCTGACAGACGGGCTCTAGGATTCACCCTGTTCTTGCGCGGGAACGCGCAGTGCACGCGAGCTCCTCGCCTGCTTCCAGCGGCCCCGGCTGGTCTCTCCAGTCCTCCGAATGGTGCTCGCCCAGGCTCCGCTGCACTCCATTCCGGCGTCGCCCAGACTTCGTCCATCTCGGGCTTCGTCTCCTCCCCCTCCTCTCGCGCTCGCCTCTCAGTCCGACCTGGTCTGGACGGGTCACTGATCTGCCCGGGCCCAGGAGCGAGCCAGTCCTGGCCTCTCTGCGTCAGGCCCCATCGAAACATGAAAGCACGCGCCTGCACAGGGGGTTCTGGCCAGCACTTTCCTGGGCCACGCCCTCGCCGCACGCGCGGCAAGTCCAGCTCCCCAGGTCCCGGGCCTCGCCCTGCCGACCATCGCCACCGCTTGCCCTACTCTGGCGCCGTCTTGCTAGACTCGTCAGAATTCTGACCTTCAACACTGCGACCTCATCGTCGGCTGAATCCAGGCCCCCCGGCCCTCCACCCGACAGCTCGAATCCCCATGCCTCGGCGTAGAAAGGGTGCCACTCGTCATTGCGCACCCCGCCCATTCTGATTCGAAGGCCCAACGGGGCCACCGACGTCTCCGTCGACCCCCGAAGCCCGACGTAGACTTTCGCATTCTCGCCTGTCGGCGTGAGGCCCTCCGCCGCGCCGAACGTCAGGTTCTCTCTGCGCCGCCCACTCGCGTCTCCGTCAAACAGGGACTGCCCCAGGCTGCAAGCAGCGCCGACTCGAGTCTTCCACCAGTTTCCTCGTCGCCCGTTCGTCAGAGCTGCTGGCGCGCGGGACGCCCCTGGGAGAATGACATCTC